CGACTCCGGGCGCCCGGGCCGGCGCTGGCGCTGCGCGTTCCTTCCCCGAAGGGACCGGCGGCGGGGAGCCGGGGCGGGGGGTTGGGGCGACCTCTAGGCTGCGCAGTTTTCGCGCTTCCGCCGTCACCACCTGACATTTCTAAATTTTTTGGGTTTTTGAGAATTAAAAAACAAAACAACAAAAAACCCACTGTCGTGACTCGGCGATGATCTGCGCCGGACTGACAGCCGCTGAGTGGGGGACGCGCCGCCCCGACCCCGCTAGTGGGAGGGGACGCTGGCGGGGGTGGGGGGCGCCGAGGTGACCCCGTGTCCTTCGGCCAAAGCGTCTCCGGGACGGGAAGAAATATGGTATAAGCGAGAAGACCCCATAAATCTGGTTTTTAAAAAACTCAAGTTAAAACTGTTTTAAGTCAGAAATGGCATTTTTTTCTTTTTCCTGAAACGTCGCTGGAGCAGCCAGGAGCTTTGTGAAACGACAACTTAATGAGCTCTAAGTTTGCGGGAGTAAAGGCGGGTCCTCGCCAGGGTTTCGTGGCTCCTTCGGAAGCAGCGTCCCTGAGTCCCCAAACACCCTTTCTCGTTTGGCAGCAAAGCCCCCGCCCCCTGCCCACTCGGCTGCCGTGTTCCGTCTGGATTCGAATCGCGAATAGTGGTGTGGCGCGGCCCTGACAAATCAGCCCTGGGGACAGGCCGCGCCCCGGAGCCAGCCCCAGGCCGAGGGTGAGGAGGGCGCCTCGGGGAGGGAGGGCTCGCTCCGGAGGGGCCACTCCTTGGGTCTAAATAGTCCAGAGAGAAATGATTTCGTTCCAGATTAGCAAATCCCAAAAGAGACAGGCGTCGAAGGAAAAAAAGAAAGGAAAAAACCCTCACAAAGAAAACAGAACCACCTCTGAGAGCCTGCCTGTCTACCTGGAGCCATATGGGGGCCTTGGGTTTTTCCCTAGTTTGGGGTGCACTTCTTCCTCTGCACCCCCTATTCTCCCCGCCTTCCGGGACCAGCCGGGGCGCTCAGAGGAAGGTCAGAGCACCGGAGCTCGGGGTCCGTGGGGGTGGCTTTGAAAATATGCCGCTCCCCGGGCTGTTGTCCCCAGGGCCAAAGCCGATGCGTTGGGAAAACTGCAAAGTGGGTCAGGCAACCTAGCTTTCTGTCTGAATAAACTCTACGTGTTAAACAGTTTTGTTTTATTTTTAGGTTAACTGACAAGAAAAACATTTCACTACCCATTCTCTCCTTTGGTTGGAAACGCAGTGTAAAAAAACCGAAAAACAATTTGTGACCCTGCAAAGGAGCAATTACCTTTTTCCCTCCGCTTTGTTTTAGACAATATTAAAATGACACTGGGAATCTGGAGGGTAAAACACTCAAGCCCTTAGAAACCGCACGTTGCGGAGTCAGTAACGTCTGTCCCACTGCTCACCTCTGTCCCAGCCGTGCCCGGGCCAGCGCGCCCTCTCACCGCTGCTGCGGAGCTTCGAGAAAAGCAGGTCCCTAGGGGTTAGCTATTGTCCAGGGAAATTCACACGGACACCCCTGTACTTGCAAATATAAAAAAACACCGCAGGAATGAGGTCCTCCCCTGGGCTCGGTCTCCTCGGGGCTCAGGCTTGGAGGCCCTTCACAGCCTGGACTGTAACTTGGCCAAAGGAATTGTTAACTCGTCTTCATTAGAAATCACCTCACTGAGATATGAATGTAAGAAAGGAAACTTTGCTTTTAAGAGCAAACCTGAGAAACATTTAAAAATAGTTGGACTCAAAGGAAATCAAATGCCCACATTTCTGTAACTGCTTACAAACGAGCTTCTGCAATATTCAATCTACTTAAAAATTGGGTCGGAACTCACGTAAAAATCAAAAGAAAGGCATTGGAAGCCCTGGTCGGAGGTAAGTGGACGGCGGACGCCGGGCTCTCTCTTCTGGTAGTCGCCTTCGATCGAACCCAGGTTAAATTTTAAAGCCCCGGGATCCTGCTCCAGTCGCCAGTCTCCGTTCCAGAGTTTTCTACCTTCAGTCTTCCCGAATTGCGGCCGCATTGAAACCGGGAGCCGCCGCAGCGATCGGGGGAGGCTCAGAGGAATGTAATAAAAGTGACTAAATGGGATGAGAACGGTTTATGGACCTTCTCAGTAGCAATTTAAAATCCAGAAGTGTTTAGCAGCAATTTACAACGAAGAATGGAAAAAAAAAAAAAAACCAAAAAGAATTATCGCCAACTTCCTCTATTCCGCTTCTTCCTGCCCCGCGCTGGCAGGCCCTGTCCCTTGTCCTCCCAGGACACGCAGGTTCACACCTCACAGTTACACTGAGAGGACACAGACGTCCATGACGAGGGCTCACGGTCTCTCGACCCCACATTTCACAGTGCCCCTACCCAGCGCGGTCCAACTCTGCTTCAGCTCCTCTCCGTTCGCCTACTGGAAAAACACGAAAATAAAAGAAAACAAACAAACAGCCCAAACGCTCTCAGGGAGACTGACCCTTAGAAAATCATTTACTTCGATTTACCTGGAAAAAAAAAAAGTGTAAAAATCCATTCCCACCAAACAACTCCTCCTGCCCTAGTTAAAACTCTCTCTCGGCAGCCTTCTGGGGTCATGTCTGTCGGAAGAAACCCTCTTCGTGAGCGAAAGGGAAGGAGACATATATCACGGCTCCTGCCGCGGACGAACTTGCGGCCGCGCGACTCGCCGCTGACAGATCGGCGCTGATAACCCCGCGACGTTCATTTCCAGTCCCGCTGCCCGCCAAGCACCGTATCAGTTTGTACACAGTTGTGATAACCATTTGGAGGGAGCGAAGAAGGGGTGTGTATGTGAGGGTGGGGGTGGGGAAGCGCTATTTCGCCCTGGGTCCAGGGACGGTGACCCCCCTCCTTCCATCGATTTATCTGAGACTTACCTGAAGTTCTCCACGGAAAGCTCAGAGCAAACGGGACACCAAAACTCGGGGAGCATCTCCGGGTGCGACTGGCGTGGAAGCCCTTTTCCATTCTGCGCCCCTCACGGACTAACCTTTACGTCCACCACGACCCCAAATTAAAAGTTCCCACAGGTTAGCTGGGGAGTGCCGACGTGAACTTCCCGAAACTTCCCAGGAATTTAGTCTATTTCTAAAGAGCAGGGCAGAGAGAGGGAGCTGGGCACTCGAGTTCCTTCTTTCCTGTATCATAGGAGACTCGACCCCCGACGGCCACCACAACTTGAGCCCCAGGGTCTCGAGACGAGGTCGGGGAAAGTTTAAGGTCGGTCACACACAACTGCAGAACAAAAGCTTATTTAATGTGGAGGGAGGCGCGAGGAAGGCCGTTGGAGCAAAGCACTTTCCCCCTCATTCTGGGGGCGCATTGACCCGGGATCTGGCGCGTCCCCCCCGCCGCGGTGGCTGCGCGGAGCGGTGCACAGCCATCTCCCTCCGTGTCACCCACCCACTCCCACCGCCCCCGTGAGTGCGTAACTGGGGGCGGAGGAAGGTGCTCCGCCGCAGGATGAGTGTGGATCTCCAGCCAGGTCAAGCTTTCTGCCACCTCCGCCCCACCCCCAGCGTCCCTGGGCTCGACGCCCCCTCGATGGACTTGCCCCCACTCCCAGTACAGTGCTCGCGGCTCAGCCCACACCCGCAGGCTGCGCTGCGCTCATTGTCTGCCAGGACAGCACGCTCCCCTCCCCCCGCCGCCCGCCGTCCCCTCCCCACCCTCTTTTCTCTCCTCCCCTCGCTCCCTCCTCCTCCTCCTCCTCTTCACCTCCAGCGCCCAGCTGCTCGCAGAGCGCAGTTCCGACCCACAGCCTGGCACCCTTCGGCGAGCGCTGTTTGTTTAGGGCTCGGTGAGTCCAATCAGGAGCGCAGGCTGCAGTTTTCCGGCAGAGCAGTAAGAGGCGCCTCCTCTCTCCTTTTTATTCACCAGCAGCGCCGCGCAGACCCCGGACTCGCGCTCGCCTGCCGGCGCCCGCCGCCTTTCTCCGCGCTCGGAAGCACCCGCCGCCGCGGCTATTCTCCATGCGCAGCGCCCACCCGAGGTTCGGCTGCTTCCTCTCTTGCTCGTGCTCCCCTCTCTCCTCCCCTCTACCCCCCACCCGTCGCGGGCCCCTTATCCTCGGGCTCTCCGGCCCTCTGCGGGCCGCGGTCGCTCCGAGGGTGTCTCCCTTTTCCCGGCAGGCTGTAGCGGCTCCCAGGTTCCCCAGGACACCGCGGACCAACTTCTGGCGTCTTTTCCTCTCCCCGAAGCGCTTATCTGTGCGCAGCCTTATCTCGAGTTATCTCGGCGCAAAGGGGCGGGAGCCGGCAGTCAGTCAGGCGGGCAGAGAGACTTCTTTCTTGCTATCTATCCTGGGTCTGTGTGTGGGCATTAATTTTAGTGTGGTTATCTCCGATGAGCCGAAGCGATTTGGAAAAAGCAGCCCCGAGGAGGTCAGTTGGGCTGCGTTTTGCCTCCCTCCCCCAACCCCTCCGAGTCTCCCTGTCATTCTTCCTGCTCTCCCCTTTGGGGTAGCCTCGGCTTCGGGGCGGTCTCACGTCCCCCCTTGCATTTCCCCCTCCTTTTTTCTGCGCTCCGCTCCACCCTACTACGTCCGATTCCGGAACGGTCTGGCCTTTCTGTGGCTGGCGATGACCGCGGGGTGGGCAGGGTGGCCCGGCCGGTGTGAGCGCAACGCGCTGGTGGCTGCAGACCCGAGTCGTGTCTAAGGTGTGCCGGGGACGCGGGGACGCGGGTTGGGCGTGAGACTCTGGCCCTGGGGGCACCCCTCACTGTGCCCGGAAGGTCCGACACTGCCGTCCCGCCCCGGCGCCCCACCTTCCTAGGGCTGAGTTGCATTTTTCTCTGGGGCTCGCGTTCCGTCTCGTCAGCGCAGACCGGGAAGCTCTGGGAGAGCCACTATGGGAACGCGGCGGTTTCGTTTTCGTGAACAGGTTGCCTTCCTTGGGCTAATGCTTTTCACGCGGGCAGCCCTCACGCTGCAGCATTTCGGGCGAGGGGCGCCCGCAGGAAGGCGGGATACGGCAGCGCCGACACGCACAGCTACTTCAGTTCTTTTGTGTGCCATCGGCCCGGAGGGAGGCGATGGGGCGGAAGGCAAACCTCGGCCAGCCTCGTAGCCACCCCTGGGATCTGGCTCGCGCGCGGATGAAGGATGCTGCGGAGGGGGTGGGCGGGGAGGGCGAGGGGACCCGAGCGGTGCGGGTGCGGTTGAGGGAGGGCGGGTATCCCGGTCCGTGGAGGACCCTGTGGCGGCTGCGCAGGCTCCATTCCCCTCTTCTTCCGCAACCCCTGTGCCCAGGGCAGAAAAGGGATCTCTGAGGAGTCTCATTAGCTAGAAAGGGGAATGGAAGTCAGATGTACAGCTTGCGCTTTTGGTAACTACTTTTTATTTCTCATCTCGTTTCTGTGCCCCCCACCCCCGCCCCGGTCCGCCTCAGGAGCTAGAAGTCTGCTTGGAGAGGCGCCGGACCGTGGATGGCCTTGACTGACGGCGGCTGGTGCCTGCCGAAGCGCTTCGCGGCCGCGGCGGCGGACGCCAGCGACTCCGGAGCCTTTCCAGTGCGGGAGCTCTCCACGCCGCCTTCCCCCATCTCCTCCTCGTCCTCCTCCTGCTGCTCCCGGGGTGGGGAGCGCGGCCCCGGCGGCACCGGCAACTGCAGGACGCCGCAGCTCGACACGGAGGCGGCGGCGGGACCCCCGGCCCGCTCGCTGCTGCTCAGCCCCTACGCCTCGCATCCCTTCGGGGCTGCCCACGGACCTTCGGCGCCCGGGGTCGCTGGCCCCGGGAGCGCCCTGTCGAGCTGGGAGGACCTGCTGCTCTTCACTGACCTCGACCAGGCCGCGACCGCCAGCAAGCTTCTGTGGTCCAGCCGCGGCGCCAAGCTGAGCCCCTTCGCACCCGAGCAGCCTGAGGAGATGTACCAGACCCTCGCCGCCCTCTCCAGCCAGGGGCCGGCCGCTTACGACGGCGCGCCCGGCGGCTTCGTGCACTCGGCGGCCGCCGCGGCTGCAGCGGCG